CCTGGGTTGTGCTGGGAAGCTGCAGCTGGGTTGCGAATAGCGAGACTGCAGAGAGAGAGAGAGGGAGAGCACAGCTCTGTTTTGTTTTGTAAATTATTTTTTTTCTGTGCTGTAATTGAGTTGCGGTTAACAAACGTTGCAGAGCGTGGCTCTTTGATCTCCTGCTACTCTCTCTGACATAACCAGACGGCCGGGGAAAGCCAAAACCAACAAGTTCCAGGGTTGAACATGCTTTTTTTTTTTTTTCCTTTTTGCTCTGACTTAATCCGTGACGTTTGGGGCTGGAAGCCTGGGACGCCTGCTGCAAGCTCTCTTCTCAGCCTTTCTTTAACTTGTGGGTTTTTTAGTATCCAGCCCTCAAACAATCGTGGAGCTGTTCTTTCACGAAGTGGCCAGGAAGCACATCATATCCCGACTCTTCTTGCAACCCAACACCTCTTTGGCCGAAACAAGTTTGAACTGGCCCCACCTTGTTACCGCTGTCATGGCCGACTTCTTGCCGCTTCTGTATCCTTGGTGCTGTAACCAGAGGGGGAGTCCTGCGGTTCCGAAAAAAAAAAATAAAAATCAACGTTTTCATTTCAAAGACAAGTGCCCTGAACAAGTGCCTGTTGTTGGCGTTAATGGGATTTGCGGGTATTTTAAGATTTCACTGAATCCGTCCCATTTACACACACAACAAAGGATTTGAGGTGTTGACTTTAAGCCCCTGAGCTCTAGCGACTTGGCGAGGTAGATCTGGAAGGGTAACGAGATTCGGGCAGTTGTGACTTGGATGTATTCTCATAGTTTTGTTCTAATATGGATAAATCTTATTACGGAAGAATGACTTGTATAGAGAGCAGCTTAATCTTCTCTCCTTTTCCCCCCCAACAAACTGAGAGAACTTTCAGCTGAGATTTTGCCTCCGTTCCTTAACCTCCGCTCAGATGGCCGAGCAACCCCAGCTTCCTCTTCCCCGAGTGCCTGATGGGGAGCTGCCAGTACACCCAGCTCCAGGTGAGTGCTGGGCTCCCGTGGGAGCTCGAAAGAGAAAATCCGGAGTGAGCACATCGGCCTCTTTCCACGGGGGGATGTTTTTTGGGAGGGAGCACCTCCGTGTCGTGGCCGACTCGGGGGTGTCGCGCAGCGCAAGCTTGGGAAAAGCCACCCAAAATGTCGTCTTTCTGGTTGCTGGAGTTTGTTCCCAAGTGTTCTGCTTCCACCTCTCCCTTCTGGAGACGAAGGGCTGGAATTTTGCTCTGCAGACGGAGAATTGTTGAAAACCCCTCGTCCAACTCTCAGGGTGTCTGTGTGTTGAGCAAACTGGAAAGTAGCGAGTATCTTCCATCTTCCTTATGTGTCTCTAGTGCTCCCTGGAGCATCCTACTCTGCTCACAGAAGGGCTTCTTGTTGAATGTCTCCTACCTGGAAAACGCTGCAGAGAGTTTGCTGGGGAATGGTTGAAGAGGCATTTCCTCTCTTGTCCGTTTTCAAGGAAATCCAGGCAGAAGTGCTCAGGATCATTACGTACCTTTCTCGTGGAGGAGCTCGGCCTCCCAGCGTGATGCCAAGTGTGAGAGCCAGCTTTGCTTTGTTTAAAGATCACAGCAGGGCCCTAAATCCAGCAGCTCGTTACCTGCTGATGCACCCAAAGCCTTTCCTGTGGTACCACTGCAAACGGATGAAGGCTGACTTCAAACCCGGCAGCACAAGTTCTGTTTCGGGAGGGCTCCTCTATTTCTTAAACATCCTTACTAGTTCAAAAAAAAATATATGAGAAAGATCTGTCGTCTTTCCATCTTGGTGGCAGGGCTACTTTTTTTCCAGGTGTCTGCGCACACCCCAGGTTCTCCACCACCGCTTCCCCTGCTCTTTGGGGGCTCGGGGAGTTGTAGCTGCTTGTGCTCCAGTTCTGAAACTCAAAGATTTCTTGTCTGTGACACATTTTGTTCCCTGACTGATGCCAGTCCTCGAGACAATGCGGGGCTAGACAGGCTGTTCTTAAAGAGATGCTTTCCTGCGCTTAGCAGAACCTTTTAGTCTCGCAGTCCCTTACACCGGGGGGCTGAACCACTTGCTTTTGTGATTTCCGAGAAAGAATGTCAAAGCTGCAGAGCTTCTGAGCCAGGAAACGCCAGGACGGTTTGGGCAGCCTCGTTCTACCTCCTGGCGTACGTGCACTCTCTCTCGCGGCACGAGTGCGCTTTGAATTTCCTCGCCTCGCTTGCGTCCCACTGCGAGGAGATACGTGAGGCTTTTTATCTCCTTCTGGACCCCGCTTGGTCACGTCGACTTGGATTAAGTGCGTCGACCTCGGGAAGCTGACCCCAGGTTTGCTGCGAGCGCGGTGACCTGAATCGAGGTCGGAGACGCAGGAAGCACCTGTGAGTAACAGGCGGGCACGGGGAAGGTCTAATGACCCGCCTGGGACAAGAGCCAAACCTCTCCTTGTCACCTATTGTGTATGACGAGCTGGTGAGCAAGCCCTGGGGAGGATTTAAAGTGCGTCGACCTCGGGAAGCTGACCCCAGGTTTGCTGCGAGCGCGGTGACCTGAATCGAGGTCGGAGACGCAGGAAGCACCTGTGAGTAACAGGCGGGCACGGGGAAGGTCTAATGACCCGCCTGGGACAAGAGCCAAACCTCTCCTTGTCACCTATTGTGTATGACGAGCTGGTGAGCAAGCCCTGGGGAGGATTTATCTCTTGTAGCCGGCTAATCCGAGCGGTGAATCCAGGCTCAGGTGCGTTGCCACGTGGCTCTTTAGCAGCCCCGTGGCTGGGGTAGGTGAGGGGTGTGTGCTGGGGGTTTACGCGCGTGCGAACACGAGGGTCAGACGGTGAAACCTTGGCTTCCCCACCTGCTCCTGGCGCCGTCTCCTCCTTCCCTGCCAAGTCCCAGAGCCCCCGCTGGTGGCACCGCTCTGCTCCTCCAAGCGTGAGGAGCATCCGCCGCTCTCCCGCGTGCGAGGGATGCCAGCTTTCGAGTCGTCATCGTGCCTCCCGGCTGCTTTTTGACAGGCGATGACACTTTGCAGCCCTTATATTATCCTGAGAGAGCAGGCGCGGGGCCAGGCCAGGTTGTGCTGCCCGGTAGTTTTGGCTGGCGTCCGTGTTGCGGCTTTATTTACGGCTTGTCCTTGGTGCTGTCGGTTTGCTGCTGTCATCTGTGGTCTTCCTCAGCTGCTCTCCCTTTCCTGCCCCACTGACACCTGCTTTGCCTCTTCTCTTGCTCCCATTCGTGCTCTGTGCATGCTGGGGTGAGGTTTTCGCTGTGGTTCCCTGCAGCAGGTTGTAAAAAGATCCTCACGTCTGATCTTTGGGGGATGTCGGGTGCAGTTCCCGAGGCGTTTTGTACAGATTGGGTGCAGGGGAGGGCGACAGCTGGGGAAGGGCCTGGAGAATAAATCTGACAAA